AATATGATATCGGATGGTGGTGATGTATTCTAATGTGTTAGAATATTTTGCATTACTTTGTGTTTTGCTTGTTTTTTGCATTACTTTGTGTTTTGCTTGTTTTTTTTTTTTTTTTTTTGCATTACTTTGTGTTTTGTTTTTTAAACTTGTACTAACTTTGTGTTTTGAGTGCAGGTAGTGTCATACGGCAATGATGACTTCGTTTCTCCTAAAAGGGTCCCGGTGATCCATTTGGGCCAGGTGGAGATTTGTAGAGTATGTGGCCCAAATGAATTCTTTGTGAATGGCCCATTAAAATCCCACCTTGCAACCCACTTACGAGCAGCCCACAAAATTTGAGCCCAAAATTAAAAGTCAGCCCAATCTCACTAGGTTTTCCCTTTCTCTCTCTCTTCACCTCTTTTTTCTTATATCGGTGTTTTGGTTTTCCCAGCAGATTTGTTTTTCTAATCTGCTCCTTTTTTCTCTCAACAAATCTTGGTGATTTGTTACCTAATTCTTAGTGAGTTTGGTAGATGATTTGGGTGTATAAGTGCACCCTTTTCTTTTTTTGTGTGAGACGTGAGAGACGGAAAAAAGGCGTGAAAAAATAGAGTCGAGAAAAATACTTTGTGTATTTGAGAGGGAAAAATAGAGTGAAAAGAGAGAAACCTTTTTTGAGAAGCAAAGCTCGATTCTTTCAATGAATTCGAGCTTACTTCTTTAGGGATAAACTGGTGAGATTAGGGTGTGAATTTGGGTTTCGTTTTTCTTCGTTTTGTTCGTTGGAATACACTGTGTGTGTACGTGTGTGTGGCTGCCGTGAGTGTTGGAGGCCCCACTTGGATCTTGGACGAGGACTCGGAGATTGAGGACTGAGCCGGATAATCGACGACCGCCGGAGCAGCCGTCGGAGGAACTTTCGTTTGCAATTCTGTGTGAATTGCTCGGTTTTGTCTCTTACCCTTATTTATTTTTCTGCATTAATTAAATCACGTTTTATTCTAGGTTAATTGAGCATTAATATTTTATTCTTAAAATATTATGATCTGATTGTTGGTTTTGCTGATTGTTGAGTGATGCTGTCGTCGTTTGTTGCTGATTAATGCCATTATAAATTGTTGTTATTAATTTAATTATTTATTGATTCTGTTGATTAAATATATTATATTATATTTTAATTGTTTCTAATAAAATATGAGTATTTTGATTTTGTGTGGTTTGTCTTCTCCGGGCGGATACCCAACAGTGGTATCAGAGCGTTGTTAAGGGTCCGTCCGGAGCGGCGTACGAAACCCTGGTCCAGGGGTTTCGCTCAGGTATAAATTTCTACTCTTAGTGAGTTGATTGATTCTTTGTGATATTTATACCTGTTATTGGTGAATCTTGGTGATTCTTTGTTTATTGCTTCCGCTAATATTTTGTGTGAATCTGTGTGATTCTTTATCTTTGTGATATTTGAAAAATATTGGAATCTTTGTGATCCGTTTTTGCTCTGAAATTGTGAATCTTTGTGATTCTATAATTGTGTGATTTTTTTTTTTAAATTGTGAATCTTTGTGATTCGATTTTGCTAAAGTTTATTGAATCTTTGTGATTCTCTTGTGTGTTGATCCTGCTGATATTTAATCTTGGTGATTTTGCTATCTTTGTGATACTTGAATATGGGATCTATGTCTATGTTATCTTTAGCTCCTTTCGATGGAAAGGGTGATTTTTCTATTTGGCAACAGAAAATGAAAGGTATTTTAATTCATCAAAAATGTTTTAAAGCGATTTCTTTAAGTGAGGAAGTTTTTATAACTGTTGCTAAACGTGAAGAACTTGATGAACTTGCTTATTCTGCTATTATCTTGAATCTAAGTGACTCTGTGATTAGAAAAGTAGGAAAGCATGATTCTGCTAGAAGTTTATGGAATAAATTGGAAGAGCTTTATGTTGAAAATTCTTTGCCCAATAAAATGTTTTTGCTTGAAAAGTTTTTTGGATTTAAATTGGACTCTCGCAAAAATATTGATGCTAATATGGATGTTTTTACCAAGTTAGTTCAAGATATTAAATTAACTGGTGATAAGAACATTGATGATTATACCCCTATTGTGCTCTTGAATGCTATTCCTGATGTTTATAATGATGTTAAGTCTGCTATTAAGTATGGTAGAGATAAGATTACTTTAGATACTGTGATCAATGCTTTAAAAAGCAAAGAGCTTGAATTGGGAATTAATAGGGATAAATCATTTGGTGAGGTTAATTTTATTAGAGGAAGTCAGTCTAATCGCTTTCAAAACAACAAGGCTTTTTCTAGTCAAATTGATCAAACTAAGAAAAAGGGTGGAGATTGGAGTAAGTCAAAGGCTAATCCTAATAATAGAAGGTGCTTTAATTGCGGTGACCATAGTCATTTTATTAGTGATTGTCCCAAGCCTAAGAAAAACCAACATAGAGATCAAGCCAATATGATATCGGATGGTGGTGATGTATTCTAATGTGTTAGAATATTTTGCATTACTTTGTGTTTTGCTTGTTTTTTGCATTACTTTGTGTTTTGCTTGTTTTTTTTTTTTTTTTTTTGCATTACTTTGTGTTTTGTTTTTTAAACTTGTACTAACTTTGTGTTTTGAGTGCAGGTAGTGTCATACGGCAATGATGACTTCGTTTCTCCTAAAAGGGTC